GCGAGAGCGAGAGCGAGAGCGAGCGGCGTTACGACTGCATACAGTCATGATTTCGCATGCAATCGGACATGTCTGTGCACCCCTGGCCAACTCACGTACACAAGCACATGGCCCTCACAAAACCTCGCCAACACAAGTCTCGGGCGAATGAGAATCCAAAAAATGCGGCAAAGCATTGAATACAAATGCAAGTAGGGTTGCCGCGGAGGTAGGCGTGCACATTGCGCGAAAAGGCTGCAATATAGGAATGGGTTCTCTGAGTTGCGCACCACTGTATCAAAACCTACAGCTTCCAACCACAGGATAATATGTCCATAGTGCCTCATGTGGAGATTTAGCCCCGCACAAAAGCTGTACTCTACGAACGATAACCACATATTTCTACATCACCATTGGCATCAAGGAACAAGCAAAACCATGAATGGCTGCATGAGTGAATTAGGGAGTGAGCGATTGAGTGAATGAGCGAAAGAATGAGTGAAGGAACGAATGGATGAGTGAAGGAACGAAAGAATGAAATAATGGATGAATGAATGAACAGCGGAACGAGGGAAGGAACAAACGAAGGAAGCAAGGAACGAAGGAATGAATGAATTCACGAATGAATGCATGACTGATTGAATGAATGAACGAATGAGAAAGAGAAATAAGCAGCAAAAAGAAAGATAATGGGAACGAGGATGAATGAATGGATGGATGGATGGATGCATAAATGAATGAACGAATATGAGAATGAGAACGAGAATAGGATGAGGATGGAAATGCGAATAGGCACGAAGAATGAATGCATTTTTGCATGGATGGAATGGAATGGAATGAATGGATGGACGAATGAATGATTGAATGAATGCATGCATGAAAGGCTTGATGGAATGAACGGAATGAGTGAATGAACGAACGAGTTAATGGAATGAATGGACAGAATGAATGAATGAATGGCATGAAAGAAAGGCTGAATGAATGAATGAATGAATGAATGAATGAATGCATGAAAGGTTCGATGAAAAGAACGGACCGAAACAGCAAAACTAACGAACGAATGACTGAATGAATGAGTCAATGAATGATTGATTGAACGAACGAATGGTGGAATGAAAGAATGATACAATTGAATGAACAAATCAATGAATCAAAACGAACGATTCATGCGTACGTACTTGCGCACATATATCTACGTATATCCATAGTCGCTGTGTGAGCCATATACATATTTACATGTATACCGGTCTCCATGTGACTACATATACAAATGCAACATATATATATATATATCTGTGTGTGTGTGTATGTATGTATGTCTACATATGTACATACACATTGGCAGGCAGGCAGGCAGGCAGACAGACAGACAAACAGACAAACAAATAGCTAGATATATACACCCGGGCGTGTGTGCTCCGTGTGCGTACATGTGTATATGTATACTTTCTATACTTACATTCAGAATACATATTTGTTGATTACATTCTCGTGTATCGATCGCCAGCTGTGCTGCTGTCGAGCGGCTCTTCCTTCTTCAAAGCCATCTCCTTCCTTGCCTGGAACCAAGAATCGAACCTCTGCCAGACAAGAGCACGGCAAATTCAGCCAACCAAAGCCATCTTTACTTGGTGATCCATAATTGATAAACTGTACTACAAGGGCTACGAGGAATGCTTGGTTCATGCTGGAGCCAACATGCCATTACATGAGAAACCCATTTCGCAGCGCCGAAGCACGGATTACACACAGTTTAGTTCTCCGCACACCTCGATAAGCAGCGAAGCATGGTTTCTGCCCGAACAGAGTGATAACACTACCGCCGGCGCGTCAGAAAAGGCCTTCAGTCATGGAGTGTTGATCAGAGGCATCGGATGGCATGGCCTAGCAGCCCTCATGGGCATGGTAGCATTTGACACAAGCAGCGATCCTTTGCCAATATTGGGGTGGCAAGCCGAATGCTGTGACACCCCAACCCACATGCTCTTGCAAATCTTGGGAGCTGCGATTTCGACGTGGAGACTACACGGGTTGATTATTAACTAAGAGGTGCTGGTATAGTCTGACGCGAACTTCCACTTTGTATGCCTTTCCTGGCGATGTATCTGACGGCCGGCTGTCCTACAGATGCAACTTCGAGAAGCTCGCTTATTGTGCAAACCAAGTGCCTGATGACTGCAAAGGCCATTGCTCCGAAGTAGGTCACCTGGAACATCACCTGCCAAGAACACCAGTCAGCATGACCGACACAGGCCATGCGGCTTTTGTGCTTTTCCAGCACCTTGAAGATGGTGGCGGCATTCTGACCGGTGGAGGCATCCCTCGGCTACAGGGTCCTCCAAGGCCCTCGTGACAAGGTCTGAGACTTGGACAATCACCACCATGTCACGTTAACGGGATCCGTTCCTATTGCGCAAGCTGCGCGGAATGGAGTGGGGCACTGAAGAGACGACCTCAGTAAGCATGCCCGGCTGCGAGTTGTTGTCGTCAGCCAATTTGCTGAGAACGTCCACCACATAGGTCGCCTGAGGGTGCAGTCGGCGAAAGATTGCTAGTATGTCTAGCTATGGGCGCTGATGCAGACGTCTGTGCTTCCACATCCATCCACTTCACATGGCGCAGCACATGACGGATCTCCAACCGCAGTCCAGGAACTAACTGGTTGAACGCGTAGCCTGTACCCAAAAACATCGTAGATGGCAGTGTCCTCAGCTCGAAATTGCATAAGCGCACATGACGCACCATGCATCCTTGTTTATGCCGCCGCTGAATATATGCCAGCCAAGAATCAGGTAGCGATTGATAATCGAGTTGTTAGGGGTTGCTGTTGCCAGCTCTGCACCGGCACGGGAGACTGGAGGAAGATGCTGCAGGAATGCCACTACGAGTACCTCAGACGTTCTCAAATGCCGGCACATGTGCGGTGAGCAGAAACTGAAGCCGTTGTTATGCCGTCCATTTGGCAACCGCACAGTTTTTATAGTCAAGTTGGTGATACTTTTATGCACACCACCTTACATAACAGCAGATGATGTGCGCCCAGGGCCGGAAGACCCACGTTACTGACGTGCTGGAATGAAAGCAACATGTAGTTATTTTCCCTGCCGGCTTGTCAGCGTGTGTCTTGGGAATGTCGATCATGTGTGCACAGGTTGGCGCCTTGGTTTCAATGGCGCGCCGTCCAAGTCCAAATGACCCTGAACAAAGATGCCAAAGCAGTCTGCTCAGCGATAGGATGCCTGAAACCGGACACTGCGTCCCTGGTGCTTCGAGGCTTCTTCACCAGCAGTACACTGACCCCTCTTGCTCAGATGGGTTGCCAGTCCGGCAGTGACTGCAAGCTCATTCCACACGACGCTGTTGTCTGGGTCTGTGTATTTCAGGAAGTACTGCACCACATCCTTGACAAGGCGGACTGACTAGGCACCAGTGACCAGTGATGCACTGTCATCACCTCTGCGGGCCGATCCAGCAATGTTTCGATTTGCTTTTGCAGGCTCTCATGGGTCCTTGAATGCCCACGCCATGATCATAGGCAGTGCTTTCACCTGATGCGTTACAGGGGTTAAGCTAGTTCCGAATCTTGGGTCCAAAACCACTCAGCAGATCAGGCTACCCGCTCTGATGACGAAAGGAGCACTGCAGCAGCTTGCCATAATGACACACAAAACCGGCAACACGTGGATGCATGTAAACCGGTACTTCCACGGTCCAACAATTTTGACTCATTCGTAGAAGTGGGAAGGCCTGCAAGTCGACCAGGGCATGTCTTCGAGTGTACTTGTCGAAGTTGTCAACTCTGCCTCGGTGCAACCAGCACCCTGCACTACATCGACTTCTGAGTACACGCCCGTAGTCACATACACTCTGCATTGCTCTTGCCAGTGTTTCCAGCTTGTCCTTCTCCCCTTCGATGTTCTCAGGTTCGCAACTCTATTCAGCTGCGCTACTGAGCCATTTCTGGATTGGCGGAACGCTGATGGCCAGGAAGACTGCCTTGGGGCAGGGGGATGCTCAGCTTCTGCACGACTGCCTTGCTGAGCGTTCGCATCAGCAAATCTGCAGCCAAGGGACATAAATGGAATAACCTCATCTGCCGGCTGGCCGAGCAGACACAGGACGATGCAACAGCCGTTCGCACAGCAATCTCATGAGATGCACCAGCACATCATCAGTGCGGAAACTCTGCCGTCACGACACTAGTGCAGCTTGCTGCAAATTGCAGAGCCGTTTAACATCAATGAGCATGTTCGGCTCCTCATTTAATTTACTCTCTTAGATCAAGCACGAGCTTTCCGTGCAGAGCTGCAGAGCAGGTAGAGCCCGTTCTGATTGGAGTCCAAGCTCTCATCAATCGACAAGAGGACCCGTTCGATGAGACGAAACGCAAACCTTAGGCAGCACGACTTGGCCCGTCATAGAGCACATATGGTAGATACTGCCACAGCTTGTCCGGCGGCTTGCTTTCGGCAGTGCAGCGTGTGAATAAACTCCGGAACGGTAGATCTCCCTATTGGCAAGTGTCTCTTTGATCAGCCAAGAAACTGGGAGAGAAGCCACGCATGCACGGTGCTCAAGCACTTTGTCGCAAACATGTTCATGACCGAGTCCTGGAACTCTCACAGTGCACGCGACAGTTCCGAGCAGAGTCGGACCCTGCCTGTGCCCGCTCTCTTTTGTGATCACGTTCTCGCAGTGCCTACCCACGACAAGCAATGACAATCAGCATCGAATCCATTTCGGTCACCCGAGATGCTCTTTACGTAGAACCAATCTGACCTATCTTGATGCAGGTGCGTCAACTTACGATTTCAGGAACGCCGCCTGGTTCAATGCTTGCAGGTTGGTGATGAACTCAAAATGATCCTGGCGGCACTGCGCTACTTAACCTCGCCCGACGGCGATGTGTCTCTTGCACTTGGTTGGTTTGTGCAAGATGGCAACTGGTCCGAATGCTCTACGCTCGAAGCTGCTCTCACATCCCTTCGGCATTGAGCGTGCGCGATGTCCTCGACCTCATCTTGAGTCTCTTTCAGCACCTCGTGATGAACATCTAACTTCTGCTGGTTGGTGACCTCGTCCAATCGGCGCTTTACCGCCTTGGTCCAGACTTGAAAGGTTGCAAAGTTGCAAATGTACCTCGATGCGTCATGTGGAAGCGTCAGGATTGCCGACGGGAGGCTTCTGGATCAACCTGCACCAAATAGCCAAGTGGTGCTACGCAGGTGCTATGGGAACGGGTTGTTAGTTCTTCGCGAATGCCCCGCCCGCCTTCAAAACTGCCTTGGCCTGCGAGAATAGCTTCTCCTTTCTCTTGGCAGCCTTGTCCTGTCGGCACAGCGCAACCTACCCATCGAGAGCTTCACAGCCGCAGGATTCTGCAGGGCCTAGGCCTTAGCAAATGCAAGCTGAATCCTTAATGCTCACGGCTTTCGGTGGCATTGTGCGCCTCAGGATTTCGCTGGGACAAGTGGAAAGGCCTCCCAGCAAGTAAGCTCCCGTGGCTACAGGCAGCTCAGGCACTCCACGGCAGCGCTGCTGGCAACGCGTTGCGGCTGCCAGATGCAAAAGCTGAGGCACATTGAGCCCAGCTGCTGCACACGGCAGTCAGTGACGTGAACCGTGCCCTGCTCCTATATAACTCTTCGTACGGACAACATCTGTCTCACGAGTGGGCACTGCTCCTGAAAGCCTCTACTCGTGCATACGTAGGGCATGTTGAATCATAAATCCACCAGAACCCCTCGCTCAGGCACGAGGCAGGTGGGGGCTTGATGTACATGACATGGGCACATCAACTTCAGGCCTAGGTCCAGTGCCAAAGCACTTCTTGTAGGCCTGCTCATCGGTTCTGATGTTGCTCTCGGCTGGTGGAGTATTTCGAAGATGCACTCAGGCTGAAGGCACAGCGTAGCCTCTGTCTCGTGGGTGCGTTCACTTCCTGATACTGCCAGGAACAACAGTCCTCCAGATCCGCACTAAACTTCTGCAGCCTTCACGGCGGCATTGCCAGCATCGCCGTTCGTCGTCAGAACCCTGACGCACACCCGATCAGCATCTGCTTCGCATCTTGCACAGACCCCGACACCTTTACGCAACCTACTTCGGCTCAGCAGAACCACAACAGCCAGGGAGCGCGAAATGTCGTCGTGGCGGCCGCTTGGCTTGTGGCATCGATGGTGGACGGGGCACTTGCAGCTTGAGTGGGAATGTGCTGGCCTGGGCCAGGAAGGCCCTCTGTGGGTGTTTGAAGCGCGTTTTCGGGGGCCCCGGAACCCCCGAGGCGCTGGGAGCCGTCGGTGAAAGCTTTGGACACAGTGGCTGGATTTGGGCGTAGCATGCGTAGCGCGGCGGCTGGTTTGGAGCCGCAAGATAATCGACAGGAGCTGCAGCTTGCTCAAAGATGCGAGCCTCAGAACAGACAGGATTGGTGAGCACTTGCTTCCAACCAGATCTGCAAGTCCAACCAACACTGTGAGCTATCAGCCCAGGATGTTGAATGAGGCTGGCCGCTACATTACATGCAAACGCTGCGGTGTTTGTGTGGGAGATGCCGTGGTGCAGCTCATATCAAAGAGTCTGTTTGTGTCAAAACGATGAACAAGCGTCACTACTGCTCAACAGCCCTTCCTGCCACGACGACACTACCACCGCCACTGCTGTTGCTGCTACTACTACGACCGACCGCAACAACGACTGCCACCACTACCACGGCCACTGATACACATGATACACATTGGCTACTGCTGCTGCTGTGGATGTCCCATCGAGAAAGATTCCCAGGAACGCATAACAAGCACCACAAGTGACGATCGGTCATGAGCGAAGCAACTTGTCCGCTCAACGCGCCGTCCAGAAGCTGACACATATACCTCACCGTGGCAAAGACAGGCTCGCAAAAGAGGAAAGGATCAGGGAGAAGACCGTTAGTTGCTGCAGCCCAGGTGCTTGAGGAGTGCATTTGGCTTTGGCGTGATCCCTGAGCTTCTTCCTGCGCTCGTCTTCACCTGCAGCCTCCGACGGCTGACAATTAGAATGATACCATGAAGCTGCACTGACCCCTTATCCCGGTTGAAGGGATGCCTGATGATCCATGTCTCAGTGCTCTCAGTACTGGCCAAGTTGCTGCACAGGTTCTTCGACCGCAGAGCGCTCCTGGTTGGAAGAAAGACTTTGCCAGTTACAAACCCAGGGCAAACAGCAATGGAGACCTCGTTCCACTCGACGTCGAGGAAGTCCTCTTCGAAGAAGTCTACACTTTCAGCGTCCTGTGAGATGAAGCTTCTGGAGTCCCCTGGGTTCCTTCGAGCCTCCCCCAGAAGGCCCCCGCAGCCTCCAGGGAGAGCTCCAAGGCCGTGTGTTCCTCGATTGCCTCAAAAACAAAAAAACTTCAATGCAACGATGGGGGAGCCCTGCAGGAAAAAACGCAGCTCAAGCCAAGAGTCCCCATCAACTAGGCAAGAGATGAAGCCGTCGACCTTGTCAGAAGAGATTCTGGCAACGGTGCAGACGACGCTTAGGCAGCCGTCTAGGGTCTGCCATCGCAGCGAAGCATGATCGGACTGCAGGATCGGAAAGAGCTACTGCTGAACATCGTGGTCTCATGAAGGGGCCTGCATCTCCATCACGAGGCTGAGGGAGTCTGCTACACTTCAGGGGGGTACCCTGCATCTGCTCGTTTGGGCCGAATATTTCAGCTTGCAGCGGAGACACAGTGCACTGCATTGTCGGCTGTGTGGCGCAAAGGCTCTGCTGGCTCTTCTGTGCCTCTCCCAGCCAGGAGCTCGTCCCGATTTAGCCAGGGACAGGTGTACAAGCACCCCTCAATGCTAATGGATTCTACTGCTAGTTGTAATGCACGCCAGATCATCTAGAAAAAGACTTTAAAAGAGCTTCCTGCCTTGCAAAAGCCGGGGCACCAACCCGCACGCTCCAGGAGCAACAGCCTCGAAAACGATCCTGAGATCGGAAGAGCATTTCGACAGCTCATCCAGATAGCAGCCTGCTGAGTGCCTCCTGGCACGCGAATGCGAAGTGCCGTTGCAAAGCTTTGAAGCACCTCGCAGTCCGGCATTGTGGAGCACCAGCTGAAGACGGGACTGTGGCCCGGACCCAATCATCCAATGGCTCCCAGAGGGAGCCCGTGGGTGGCACAGTGAGGGTCTGCTGAACACCTGCACTTCGAACGGTCAGGAGATTCGGGAGCACATCAGCCTCCTTCAGTGACATAAACGGCCCGGCCGGGAACTTCCAACTCGATCGGGAACTCGCAGATGTTCACAGCCTCTGCCAGCGGAAATTGGCACTCCTACATGCTCTTACGGGGCAGGTCTGGGATGCATGTGCATTCTGGCATATTCACATATATTCACCGTGACCAAGGCTAGTCCTAGTCCCAGCTAGCCAGCTAGTACACAAGGGAACCTACAGCTGCGACTAGCAGAAGAACCTAGGAAACATTGGGCTATTAGCCGGCCGGCAACGATGCACCGTTGAACTGTGAAGTAAGTGCTGTCTGCTTTGCTGGGCCATGTCAATCAATGTCCCTGCCGCATGCCAACAATTACGGCTTGGGTCAAGAAACACGTGCAAAAGAGATGCCGGGGCCGGGTCGCGGTATCTTGCACCACTGGCCCAACACACGCGTGCCCGATGGCCTCCGGAGGGAACAAAAGCAACAGGCCCCGGACCGCAACGGTCACACGAGCAGTGCCTCTTTGGTCCTGGCAGCTGCCGGCCCTGGCTGCAATGCTCTTGCTTTCTTGCTTTTGCTTCTGTCTGTTTCTGTTTCTGCTTGGAGGCCGGGAACAGTTTACGTTGAGTTGTTTTCTGCGGGCCCTATGCGGAGTGTGTTTTCTGATCTCCAAAGCCTGGCTTGCAGGCAAGAAGCTCGGATAGCAGCTGCAACAAGAAGCCCTCAGCCAGCTGCAGCTCGAAGTGTCGCGCTTCGAAGTGACTGCAGGTACTGGGGTTGCCACGGTTTGCTTCACCATGTTCGGCGTAATGTTGACCTGGAAGGCTTATAGGAGATAGGACCCCGATCAAATTCACACCGCGAAATATCTTCTTGCTCCGAGGCCAGGGCCAGCAGCGGACCCTTCCCGGTGAGGACCACTTGCTGAGCATGGCCTGGGCTCTTTCTGGTTGTGGCGCAGGTCTCCATCATTCTCTATCTTTGAAGCAGTTGGCCATGATGTGCTCGAGCAGAATGATGCAGAATGCACATGTCAGCCGAGATGCTTGAGATCGGTACGAGTAACAAACTATCGTGCCGTGCGCTGTTGTTCGAACTGGCGAGCCGAGTGTGCCGGCCGGCTCCGTCTTCTCCGTCTGGTCGTCGTTCAACCTCCGCAGATTGACGTGAATCGCACTTCTGCGAGGCATAACGGTCTTCCTGCGACAAGCCTGCACGGATGCCGCGAACGGCTCTAGAAGAGGCCTGCATCGCAAAGCCACGCGTCTCCTCGACCTCGTTGCCTCTAAAATGGTCTTGGAGACCGGCTCCCAGCAGCGGAGGACTGAATTCAGCACTTCAACCTTCAGGGAAGAGATGTCCTGGGTTGCGAATGCAACAATCAGAATGATGCTGAAGGGCAACGGGCGACACCGTAAAAAACTCAGATCGAGGCAATGTCGACTGAGAAGTAGTGTGGCATTGTCCTCACGAGACTCGCACATGCTAGAATTGGTGTTTTGACGCTGAAGGATCTAAGTGCGAGACTGCAAATGCAGCTGTGCTGCAGGTGAAGGTGTACTGAGTTGGGCTCGCACCACCTAGCAGCATCTGCCAGACGCAAAGCGATTCAATCGTTTGACAGAACTCGTGGAAGCGATCATGGCCAGATGAAGTGCGTCAAGCAGTTCGCCAGAGCCGAATGGACAGACCCGGTCCCAATGCGACCATTGTGGTCGTCCAACTTCGGCGGACCCAGGGACCTTTTCCACCGTCCCCGACCCAGGGGTTGTAGCCAGCCAAGGACGAGTTGCTTGTGCACTTGCTTCGGTGGAGTTACGAGTAGTCAGCCTGCACCTGGTCTTCCAGCCCCTATACAACCAAGACATGGCCCTCCCTCCAAAAACAAGGGGCGAAGGGGTGCTTGGCACATCGGAGCGGGTGGCCAGCGTCCTACTGATATTTTCCAGACAGCCCTTTCTTTGGCATCCTTCTCTTGTCTTTGTGGGGAAAACCTACTGTCGATCGGATCGACCAAAGAGCGATGTGGCTCCTTTCTTGCGTCACGGCGCAGACCATGTGAGTGCATGTTCTCCCCTGCAGATCTGCTTAGAAATGCCTGCAGCTATAGGGCTGGTTGTGCAAAGTCTGAGGGTCTCGCCGGTGCCTGAAAGTCAGAAAGGGCAACCTGCAGTACGTGCATGATGTCATCCGTTGCAGTTTAGTACTGCTTTGGCCCTCAGCGGAGGAGAAAGAAGTAGAGAGAAGTCCCAAACTGCAGCTTCGTAGCGCTGACATCATCAATGTCAAGCTTCATGTCCAACCGAAACCTTGTATGCATCATGATGCAAAGAATCGAAGGCAGCCGGCAGGGATTGCGTGTCCAGGTTCCGGCTGCTTCTGCTGCGCACTCTCGAACCGCCTTTCAAACCGTTTGCACTACGACTCACGGTTGACGCCGTGGCAAATTCTGTTCTGCCTCGCTGCTGCCTCCACAGCTGCGGCCGCATCTGACAAAGTGCTCCTTCAAAACCATCGCTGCACTTTTGCAGCTTCGAACATCAAGTCATGGGCTGGCTGGACACGAAGCATGTTGAGGGCTGCACTGGTTCTGCACACCTTGCAGGCATCTCGAAAGATTCAACGGCAAACAGCCAACAGCACTTCTTGAATGTCCTTCGACGAATGTCTCGCTGGCGACCTCCCTAATTAAGAAGACTCATTTTTCCAGTCGAGCTCCTCTCACTGCGATGATGCAAAATGCACTATATGCATGAGCATCGCGCGATGAATAAAAGTGAAACGGCCGAACTAATCATGCGATTCGAATGGCATCAAGAGCCCAGTAGCTGCACACCTCCGGCAGCGTGCGAAGGTACCGCCCTCACACATCTACCAGAATGGGTTGCTGCGGAGATGCCATGCCTTCGCCTATCGGAAAAGCTGTGCTGAGATTTTGCATCGCCCATGGTTGTTCGCGAGATGGCTCCTTAGGACACGAGGCTCGACGTGGTCCGGCTTTCAATGATTTGCCGGTGCGTCATGAACAACGTGCAACCGCGACACACAATCGCCGGCTCCAAGACATCTGTCAATTCTTCTTGTGGCAAATTCCGATAGAACTTGACAAAATCCTGTGCATATGTCTTCAGGAACTTGTGGGAGGCTGGAAACCTCGGCAGGGCCATGCTGGCCGCAGGTGCTGCGTAAGTCTGCCTCAGGCTGTCTTTAGCAAAAAAAATGGCAATAAAGCCCAGCCGCAAGAGGCTCCATGGCCTTGGTAGCAAGGGCATCGAGATGCGCCGAGTATGGACTACCAAATTAGCTGCCTTGGCCTGTGCTCTTGTAGCAGATGTCCTACTCTAGGCCACAGTTCTGTCCAAGGGGCAGGATGCATTCAGGGCTTATCAGTAGCAGATTTGATTCGAGGCTCGCGGTCAGCTCGCCCACGTGATCCTGAGCGAGCACTTACAGATGTTGCAGATGCTTTGCTGCAATCATTGCATCCCAAGCGCCCAATCGCTCATCCACAGGACAGCTTCCGATATCCAATAGGAGTCACCTCACAGATTTCTACACAACGCATGCCTGACTGAAACAGTTGCACACGCATTGTGTATCCATTTCTGTTGCTGATGTCATGTATACTGGCTGTCAGACAAATGAGAACGTGTATACACACACTTATGAGTTACAGTTAAGTTACAGTCCCAAAATGGTGCAACAATACTGTAAGCTGCTGCTGCTGCTGCTATCCGCTTCCAAGGCCTTGCAACTAATTCCCCTCACCCTCGAAGAAACCCTTTTCAGACTGCCCCCGTGCTCCGCCACCATTCCACTGTGCAACAGCATTGTCCTATAATCTCCAAAGGCCTGGAAGGAGGTCAGTCTCCTGTCCGACGCAAACACGGCATGTCATGTGCGAAGTCTGCGAATCCCTTGATCAGTGCTGGAGGACGCAACAGTCTTCAGTGTCCTCAGCCTCACCCAGCATTCCGGACTGCTTAGCATAGCGCAGCCTCAGAGCTGCGACAGGAAAACTACCGACACTCCGATTTCATGAAGCTCGAATACAGCCCCCGATTATCACTCAGACAGCACCACGCATGCGGCGAGACGCAGCCGAGCTGGTTTCAACAATGTCGGCATAGTTGTGCTCAGATGCAAGCGTCAATGTTGTATGGCGAAAGATTTTTGATTTGGGCACATCTTGAAATTGCCGCAAGGCATGCGAAGGGATGCTATCCGATGCGACGATGAGCGACGACGCATGTAAAATCTTAGCGTTCTGGCAGTGGAACCTTTGAAGTTCATGCCTGTCAGCTGGCTACAGTGCGCAGGTAAGCATGAATCATGAAGAATGCCAGTCTGGTTCGCTGACGTACAAGTTCCATCTACAAACTGCGCTGCACGCAATGAAAACCTCACGAAACAACCTCGGTTGACGGCTTCCCGTTGTCGAGTTCACTCCCAAGGTCTAACATACCACTCCCCACTTCACTTCTCGGACAGCTTCAGTCTGGCGGCTCGCCAGAAATGAGGTACCGCATGTGGGTCGCCGGGGTACAAGCCAAGAACTCCTTGGCGACGGAAGCAGCAGCTCAAAGCAGTGAGTAAGCAGTCGGAGCACTTTTGGTCCCGTCTCGCGTGTCGGTACTCCCCCCAATGGTATCCCCCGGCCACGGTATACAGTCGAAATCCTCGTGAAGGTCGTCACTTTTGTATCACAAGTGCCAACAGTCACAGGGATGGGCCCCCCGAACCCGAGATCCTCGTGAGTGTTTTGAGTGTTGAAGCTATGGAAAAACTTCGTGGCATGTCCAAACTGGCGACACTCACCTGGATGGGCCAAGGTTTCGATCTGCGCCGCGCCCAGCTGCTGACCCTCAACCCTAAACCCTTTCATATCCATACACCTATCAACCCTAAACAACCATCCACACCACAAAGGGGGAGGGTGCAAACCCTAAACTCAACACCCACCACACCACAGGGAGGGGGGAACTAAACCTGAAACCCACGACCCACGACCCACCACCACACCACACAACACTATAGGGGGAGAGGGCGGGTTAAATAACCCAAAACCCACCACCACA